TTGAAAGCGCTGAACATATGCAAACCTTAGACAACATAGGGTCCATATCAGTGAAGGCTATCAGAAGGAAGTTGCAGAGCGAGTCGTTTCAAGCTGCTTTATGGACTGTCAGCCGTCAGACCACCACCGTGGATGACTTAACTTTTGAAAATGTGCAACATTCTCTTCAATCTGCTGCGGAGAAAATTGAATTCGTCAAAACTATATATACTCGGTTTCTTCTCCTGCCAAACTCTGTTGACGTTACCCTCGTGTCTAAGGAGTCCATGATTCCCGAATGGGAGAATGAATCACACCATCGAACAATGTACTATATCAACCGTCACAGAACATCTATCCTAGTTTCTGAACCACCTGGATACATTTCTTTCCTGGATGTCATGGCAACCGTGGTGAGCGAGGTTTTAGGCTTTCCGACTTCCTTGCCTATAGGATCTTTATTTTCATGTCCTGAGGGATCTGAAACTGAAATTGCCGCTTGCCTGAGACTATGCTCTTATGCTCTTACAAACACCGGTGCAGCTGCTGATAGTTCTGTTGGCCAAGAGATAATGCCACAAGATGCTGTACAAGTTCAGCTACACCCTTTGAGACCATTCTACAAAGGGGAAATTGTTGCTTGGAAAATCCAACAAGGAGACAAGCTGAGATATGGAATAGTCCCAGAGGATGTTCGACCTTCTGCAGGACAAGCTCTTTACAGATTTAAGGTTGAAATGATACCTGGAGAGACTGGTTTATTACTTTCATCTCAAGTTTTCTCCTTCCGAGGCACGTCAGTTGAAAATGAAGGTCCCTCGACTTTGCTCGAGGTGCTCCCCGCAGCATCTGATAACAAGTCTCAAGAAATTTCAGAAAGTTCCAGAACTAACAAAGCAAGTTCTAGCCAGGTTTGTTACATTTCTCCTAAATCGTTTGACTTCATCATTTGTAATTGCTTCTTGCCCCATATTGAATTATCTATACTCTAGGAGACAAAATGCATATTGTTTGCCTCCAGAATGTTTATCGTCTTGTGATAGTTTGATCTGGTTGTATAATGTTTCATGCTTAAACCTATCTGAGGAAGATTGATTGGATTTGTTCTTTGTCACCTGCAGCCTGTGAATGAAACACAATATGGTCGAGTCACAGCTAAAGAGCTGGTAGAGGCAGTCCACGAGATGCTCTCTGCAGCTGGAATCAATATGGAACTGGAGAATCAATCTCTACTACAAAGAACCATAACCCTTCAAGAAGAACTCAAGGACTCTCATGCAGCATTCATACTCGAACAGGTTCGGTTACAATCGAAATCCTCCATACTTTAAAACACACATTTTTTATTATTATTTTTTTTTTATCATAATAATGATATAGCAAAAACATGCCTTGTCTCTTTAATTTTCTTGCAGGAGAGAGCAGAAGCTTCCCTGAAGGAAGCAGAGACGGCGAAATCACAATGGGTTTGTAAGATATGTCTGATCAAAGAAGTGGACATGACGATTGTACCATGTGGACACGTCTTGTGTCGGGAATGTTCAACTTCAGTCTCTAGATGTCCCTTTTGTCGCCTTCAAGTCTCTAGAACCATCCGAATCTTCCGCCCGTAACTAACATGTACAAATATCAATTACCATTTACCAAATTTTTTGTCCTCTCTATAATACAACGGTTTCTACTAATTCATTGGCAGCTTGTACATACGTCTAGGTATGTTTTTCACTTTGTATTTTGAGTAAAGAAAACATTATTTCAAGCCATTTCAGTATTAATTCTACCAAACAAAATAGTAGATGATTAACATTGGAACTAAAGATTCAAAATAAGATTGTTGACACACAAAAAAGAAAAAAAAGTGATTAATCAATCATATGATGACACGTGTCGAAATAGTGGACTACGTAGACGTTAGATAACCACCACTCAGATAAGAAGGAGAGAGAAAGCTTACACACCCAAAAGGATATGTGTTCCAGAGGCGGG